GCGTGTCAGCACTGACACGCGTGTCATAGGTTCGCCATCACTGTCCTAGCATTATAGAAATCAAGGAAGAATATGAGGTGGTATATTCTTCCACTTCTAATTCAACATGCGGTTCAAAAGATTAGGAACAGGAGACTTTGCAACAATGAAATATACATTGTTATATCAGTGGGCAATCTGAGGCCAGTTGCAATATGCTAGCATCCCATTTGCCGTTCCCAGAATTCCACTGCAGTTTACTGAACCAAATCAAAATTGATGGGTGGTTCAGAGACGATACGTCTGCTATAGCTTACTTCATCTCTCAATTTCTGCCTGTCTTTTGTTCTCAAAATGGACTAATTTGTTTTATTTGGATTCTTTTAAGTCTTCGTGAGAAAAAAAAGGGTGAAAAATTGGTCCCACATTCATTGTAATGACATCTTAATTCTCCAACCACATCGACCTACAAGCAAAATATAATGTGCAGCAACATGTGGAATAATTTTAGCATATTTATTCTGAATATACAAAACAGCAATGAGAATAAAGTAATGTAAAAGAAACATTTCATCAATGTTGCATACCTCCATTTTTTGTTGTTCCCACAGCAACAAATATATCTACACAAGATAGTTTTGCAAGAAATCATGTGAGCACGGCCTCAGTTTCTAGACATGAATATCAGTGTATCTCTGTCTAAATTTAGCTCCTAATGTGCACCTGGCCCTTTGCATCCCCAGATGGGTTTTCCCCCCTTATTTGAATTAACAGAATAAAGACCAACTTTAAAATTAAACTTTAAAAAGTCTCTATAACTGCACCCACCAACTGTTGAGGACTTATGTAGTGGTATTTAAAGTAAAGAAAGTGGATATTTTTCTTCCTTACCCATATTATTAAAATTAAAGTCCTTTGGGACAAAACAAATGAAACCCTTTTTTGCATGATGCATATTTATATGGGATTAAGCATAAAATGTAGTTGACATTATTAGTTTAAACAGTATTAAAAAAGTGTTGAAGCAATGTGTATGAGAGGAATTTTAGAGCTACTTTATTAGCTATCACTAAACTTATCAAACTTAACTGCTAAAATGTCTGTTTGAATATACTTGGTGCCATATTTTTTTTCTTTTCTGGAAATGACATAGAAAAATATTGCTAGTATAATTCTGAAAAGTCCGTTTGAACACAGAAACGCATTATGAGTATAAGGGCACTACAATTTGATTTACTGAGTACAGTCTGAAATCAGACAGTTACAGGCTTGAATAGGTTTTTTTTTTAAGGCAAAATTACTTGCATTTCAAGGAAATAAGAACTAATAAAATTCTACATTGTAGAAGTTAATCATATTTGCTACTGTTTTGGATGGAAACAACTGAAAGACTGCAGTCTAAATCAGGGGTAGTCAACCTTTTTATACCTACCCCTCACTTTTGTATCTCTGTTAGTAGTAAAATTTTGTAACTGCCCACCAGTTGCACAGTAATGGTGATTTATAAAGTAGGGAAGTAACTTTGCTTTTTAAAATTTATAAAGCAGAGTTACAGCAAACCCCTACTGCCCACCATGAAAGCTGGAACGCCCATTAGTGGGCGGTAGGGACCAGGTTGACTACCACTGCCCTAGAGGAAGAAGAGGGCACAGAAAAACTGGTATTAAAACCATTTTAAAGGAG